ATATTTCCTTTTCCTTTTCTCTTCCTTTTTTTCTCATTTTCCCATTTCAGTTTCTCTTTCCTTTTGAACAGTTTCTTCCCATTTCACAGTATCTATTGTACCTTTTGGATCTTATTTTCTCTTTTGGCTTCTTATACTAGGGATATAATATGATGTTTACACATGCAAGACTGATTTATTTCACTTATGAGTGTGGCTTTCAGTTGCATCCCTTTACCTATAAAAGTCTCAAATTTAGCCTTTTTTATACCTGAGCAGTATTCCATTATATAAAAATACCACATCTTTTTTTTTTATATTCATTCCTTGGTTGATGGGCATTTGGGTTGTTTCCAAGATTTAGGTATGACTAATTGTGCTGCTATAAACATGGGTGTACATATATCACTGTGGTATGATGTTTGTTATTCTTCTGGGAAAATACCCAGAAGGAGAATAGCTGGGTCAAATAGGATCTCTAATCTTAGTGTCTGAGGAATCTCCACCCTGATTTCCTCAGTGGTTGCACCAGCTTACTACACTCCCACCAACAATGGAGATGTGTTTCTATTTCCCTAAAGCCCCTCAGCATTTGTTATTGGTTGATTTTCTGATGGAAGCCATTCTTTCTGGATAGAGATGGAATCTCGTTGTTTTAATTTGCATCCTTGAATGACCAGTGTTGTAGTTTAGGGTTTTGCAAGGGGAACAATATAATACAGGACACATTTTATAAGATTATTTTATAATAGTTACCCAAAGAATCATATACAAACAGTGTGAAGGAAATCTGTCCACACACTAAAGACCAAAGAATCCAGCTAAGGTCCTGGATCCCATAGAAATGTCTGTATGAGTTAAGCTGAGACCTAGAGCCTATAACAATGCTCCCCCCCACCCCCCCGAATCCATCTGGAAGCCAAGAGCTCACAACAGTGTATCATGCAGGCCTGTTTCAAAGATGTATTGGGAAGGCCCAAAGGTCAGTGGTTGAAGCTAAAAAGTCTATGCCAGTGGAAAGGTTTGTGCTAGCAGGCTGAGGGATGTGTACTGGAGCCAGGAAGTAATGCTCAAAGTAAGAACCAGAGCTTCCCCAAAAAGTACCGCGGCCATCCTCAGCAACAGTAAGATCCCAAGCTCCTCTGATGATGAGGAAAGCCAAGTTCTCATCAGGAAAGCCAACACGACAAGCTTTTCCAGGAGACTGAGCAGTGCACCATCTTCCCCTCTGGAGCCAGGAAGTGATACTCAAAGTGAAGGACTAGAGCGGCCCCAAAATGAACTGCAGCCATCCTCAGGGACAAGGAAGTCCTGAGCTCCTTCTCCAATGAGAATAGCCAAGTTCATCAGGAAAGGCAGCATGACAAGGTCCTCCAACAGAATAGCCCAAGAGAACCAGAAGCTCCCTAACAGCTTCCTAACATTTTCCCACCATCCTCTGCTCTTCTCCAGTTCTACCTCTTATGCTGCCAGCAGCAATCCTCAGCTGAGCCTCCCACACCCAGCACCATGTTGGTTCAGTTCAGCTGGGTGTTACAAGTTGACCACCAGTTGTCAATCCACCACAATCCACCTCTGGTCAACTTGATAAATATATATATTTCTTTAAACCAGTTTCCAGACACAAAGACATGCATATAATTGCGTCTAACATATAACTATCCTGTGTGCAAACTGAAGTGCACTAATTCCCTCACCAAACAGAAGGTAAGTTTTCTTTGGTTGGTGTTTACACTTATCATTTCATAACTTCAACATTATAACACAGGTTTATTTTTTTTTTAAATTTTTTGTCTTTTTGAGACAGGGTCTTGCTATGCAATTCAGGCTGGCCTTGAGCTCACTTTGTAGCCCAGGTTGGTCTTGAACTTGCAATGATCCTCCTGCCTCAGCCTCCCAACTGCTGGGATTATAGGCGTGCACCACCACCCTGGCTATATAACACAAGTTTAACAATTATCAAGAACCAGATTTAAGTCTATCAATATTGTATTATATTTGAACCATATAAGGAAGAAATAGTGCAATTATAATCCTCTTTTCTGTAGCATATCATGGAGTCTTAGCTTGTATTTAGAACTACCTTCTTCTACTACTCATTCTGTATTCTCTTGACCTTCAACAAGCACCTCAGCAGATCTTGATTCTTTCCCTGAGCAGTGACCCATACCTTCATTCCTGAAGGCTCTGGGCCATTTGTCATTGTGCCTGTATTAGGTTGTTGTAGTTTCCCATTGACTTTAATAACAGGACATGGTAACATTAAGAGGCTCCCTAAAGGATCTCCTGCATTCCATG